TTGTTCCCTTAACTAGGATAGAAACGCAGTGAAAGGAGTTGATGTTGTTCCCTTAACTATGATAGAAACGCAGTGAAAGGAGTTGATGTTGTTCCCTTAACTATGATAGAAACGCAGTGAAACGAGTTGATGTTGTTCCCTTAACTAGGATAGAAACGCAGTGAAAGGAGTTGATGTTGTTCCCTTAACTAGGATAGAAACGCAGTGAAAGGAGTTGATGTTGTTCCCTTAACTAGGATAGAAACGCAGTGAAAGGAGTTGATGTTGTTCCTTTAACTGGATAGAAACGCAGTGAAAGGAGTTGATGTCGTTCCCTTAACTAGGATAGAAACGCAGTGAAAGGAGTTGATGTTGTTCCCTTAACTAGGATAGAAACGCAGTGAAAGGAGTTGATGTTGTTCCCTTAACTAGGATAGAAACGCAGTGAAAGGAGTTGATGTTGTTCCCTTAACTAGGATAGAAACGCAGTGAAAGGAGTTGATGTTGTTCCTTTAACTGGATAGAAACGCAGTGAAAGGAGTTGATGTCGTTCCCTTAACTAGGATAGAAACGCAGTGAAAGGAGTTGATGTTGTTCCCTTAACTAGGATAGAAACGCAGTGAAAGGAGTTGATGTTGTTCCCTTAACTAGGATAGAAACGCAGTGAAAGGAGTTGATGTCGTTCCTTTAACTTGGATAGAGACGCAGTAAAAGGAGTTGATGTTGTTCCTTTAACTAGGATAGAAAGGCAGTGAAAGGAGTTGATGTTGTTCCTTTAACTGGATAGAAACGCAGTGAAAGGAGTTGATGTTGTTCCTTTAACTAGGATAGAAAGGCAGTGAAAGGAGTTGATGTTGTTCCTTTAACTGGATAGAAACGCAGTGAAAGGAGTTGATGTTGTTCCTTTAACTAGGATAGAAACGCAGTGAAAGGAGTTGATGTTGTTCCCTTAACTAGGATAGAAAGGCAGTGAAAGGAGTTGATGTTGTTCCTTTAACTGGATAGAAACGCAGTGAAAGGAGTTGATGTTGTTCCTTTAACTAGGATAGAAACGCAGTGAAAGGAGTTGATGTTGTTCCCTTAACTATGATAGAAACGCAGTGAAAGGAGTTGATGTTGTTCCTTTAACTGGATAGAAACGCAGTGAAAGTAGTTGATGTCGTTCCTTTAACTCGGATAGAAAGGCAGTGAAAGGAGTTGATGTTGTTCCCTTAACTAGGATAGAAACGCAGTGAAAGGAGTTGATGTTGTTCCCTTAACTAGGATAGAAACGCAGTGAAAGGAGTTGATGTTGTTCCTTTAACTGGATAGAGACGCAGTGAAAGGAGTTGATGTTGTTCCCTTAACTAGGATAGAAAGGCAGTGAAAGGAGTTGATGTTGTTCCTTTAACTGGATAGAAAGGCAGTGAAAGGAGTTGATGTTGTTCCCTTAACTAGGATAGAAACGCAGTGAAAGGAGTTGATGTTGTTCCTTTAACTGGATAGAAACGCAGTGAAAGGAGTTGATGTTGTTCCTTTAACTGGAAAGAAACGCAGTGAAAGGAGTTGATGTTGTTCCTTTAACTCGGATAGAAAGGCAGTGAAAGTAGTTGATGTCGTTCCTTTAACTCGGATAGAGACGCAGTAAAAGGAGTTTATGTCGTTCCTTTAACTCGGATAGAGACGCAGTAAAAGGAGTTTATGTCGTTCCTTTAACTCGGATAGAAAGGCAGTGAAAGGAGTTGTGTCGTTCCTTTAACTCGGATAGAGACGCAGTGAAAGGAGTTTATGTCATTTTCTTTAACTCGGATAGAGACGCAGTGAAAGGAGTTGTGTCGTTCCTTTAACTCGGATAGAGACGCAGTGAAAGGAGTTTATGTCATTTTCTTTAACTCGGATAGAGACGCAGTAAAAGGAGTTTATGTCGTTTTCTTTAACTCGGATAGAGACGCAGTGAAAGTAGTTGATGTCGTTCCTTTAACTCGGATAGAAACGCAGTGAAAGGAGTTTATGTCGTTTTCTTTAACTCGGATAGAGACGCAGTGAAAGTAGTTGATGTCGTTCCTTTAACTCGGATAGAAAGGCAGTGAAAGGAGTTGATGTTGTTCCCTTAACTAGGATAGAAAGGCAGTGAAAGGAGTTGATGTTGTTCCTTTAACTAGGATAGAAAGGCAGTGAAAGGAGTTGATGTTGTTCCCTTAACTAGGATAGAAAGGCAGTGAAAGGAGTTGATGTCGTTCCCTTAACTAGGATAGAAACGCAGTGAAAGGAGTTGATTTTGTTCCCTTAACTAGGAGAGAAACGCAGTGAAAGGAGTTGATGTTGTTCCCTTAACTAGGATAGAAACGCAGTGAAAGGAGTTGATGTTGTTCCTTTAACTGGATAGAAACGCAGTGAAAAGAGTTGATGTTGTTCCTTTAACTGTATAGAAACGCAGTGAAAGGAGTTGATGTCGTTCCTTTAACTCGGATAGAGACGCAGTGAAAGGAGTTGATGTCGTTCCTTTAACTCTGATAGAAAGGCAGTGAAAGGAGTTGATGTCGTTCCTTTAACTCTGATAGAAAGGCAGTGAAAGGAGTTGTGTCGTTCCTTTAACTCGGATAGAGACGCAGTGAAAGGAGTTGATGTCGTTCCTTTAACTCTGATAGAAAGGCAGTGAAAGGAGTTGATGTCGTTCCTTTAACTCTGATAGAAAGGCAGTGAAAGGAGTTGATGTCGTTCCTTTAACTCTGATAGAAAGGCAGTGAAAGGAGTTGATGTCGTTCCTTTAACTCTGATAGAAAGGCAGTGAAAGGAGTTGATGTCGTTCCTTTAACTCTGATAGAAAGGCAGTGAAAGGAGTTGATGTCGTTCCTTTAACTCTGATAGAAAGGCAGTGAAAGGAGTTGATGTCGTTCCTTTAACTCTGATAGAAAGGCAGTGAAAGGAGTTGATGTCGTTCCTTTAACTCTGATAGAAAGGCAGTGAAAGGAGTTGATGTCGTTCCTTTAACTCTGATAGAAAGGCAGTGAAAGGAGTTGATGTCGTTCCTTTAACTCTGATAGAAAGGCAGTGAAAGGAGTTGATGTCGTTCCTTTAACTCTGATAGAAAGGCAGTGAAAGGAGTTGATGTCGTTCCTTTAACTCGGATAGAGACGCAGTGAAAGGAGTTGATGTCGTTCCTTTAACTCGGATAGAGACGCAGTGAAAGGAGTTGATGTCGTTCCTTTAACTCTGATAGAAAGGCAGTGAAAGGAGTTGTGTCGTTCCTTTAACTCGGATAGAGACGCAGTGAAAGGAGTTTATGTCATTTTCTTTAACTCGGATAGAGACGCAGTAAAAGGAGTTTATGTCGTTTTCTTTAACTCGGATAGAGACGCAGTGAAAGTAGTTGATGTCGTTCCTTTAACTCGGATAGAGACGCAGTGAAAGGAGTTGATGTCGTTCCTTTAACTCGGATAGAAAGGCAGTGAAAGGAGTTGTGTCGTCCCTTTAACTCGGATAGAGACGCAGTAAAAGGAGTTTATGTCGTTTTCTTTAACTCGGATAGAGACGCAGTAAAAGGAGTTTATGTCATTTTCTTTAACTCGGATAGAGACGCAGTAAAAGGAGTTTATGTCGTTTTCTTTAACTCGGATAGAGACGCAGTGAAAGTAGTTGATGTCGTTCCTTTAACTCGGATAGAAAGGCAGTGAAAGGAGTTGTGTCGTTCCTTTAACTCGGATAGAGACGCAGTGAAAGGAGTTTATGTCATTTTCTTTAACTCGGATAGAGACGCAGTGAAAGGAGTTTATGTCGTTTTCTTTAACTCGGATAGAAAGGCAGTGAAAGTAGTTGATGTTGTTCCTTTAACTCGGCTAGAGATGCAGTGAAAGTAGTTGATGTCGTTCCTTTAACTCGGATAGAGACGCAGTGAAAGTAGTTGATGTCGTTCCTTTAACTCGGATAGAGATGCAGTGAAAGGAGTTTATGTCGTTCCTTTAACTCGGATAGAGACGTAGTGAAAGGAGTTGTGTCGTTCCTTTAACTCGGATAGAGACACAGTAAAAGGAGTTTATGTTGTTTTCTTTAACTTGGATAGAAAGGCAGTGAAAGTAGTTTATGTCGTTCCTTTAACTCGGATAGAGACGCAGTGAAAGGAGTTTATGTCGTTCCTTTAACTCGGATAGAGACGCAGTGTAAGGAGTTTATGTCGTTTTCATTAACTTGTATAGAGACACAGTGAAAGTAGTTGATGTTGTTCCCTTAACTCGGATAGAAAGGCAGTGAAAGGAGTTGTGTCGTTCCTCTAACTCGGATAGAGACATAGTGAAAGGAGTTGATGTTGTTCCTTTAACTCGGATAGAGACATAGTGAAAGGAGTTGTGTCGTTCCTTTAACTCGGATAGAGACACAGTAAAAGGAGTTTATGTTGTTTTCTTTAACTTGGATAGAAAGGCAGTGAAAGTAGTTTATGTCGTTCCTTTAACTCGGATAGAGACGCAGTGAAAGGAGTTTATGTCGTTCCTTTAACTCGGATAGAGACGCAGTGTAAGGAGTTTATGTCGTTTTCATTAACTTGTATAGAGACACAGTGAAAGTAGTTGATGTTGTTCCCTTAACTCGGATAGAAAGGCAGTGAAAGGAGTTGTGTCGTTCCTCTAACTCGGATAGAGACATAGTGAAAGGAGTTGATGTTGTTCCTTTAACTCGGATAGAGACATAGTGAAAGGAGTTGATGTTGTTCCTTTAACTCGGATAGAGACATAGTGAAAGGAGTTGATGTTGTTCCTTTAACTCGGATAGAGACATAGTGAAAGGAGTTGATGTTGTTCCTTTAACTCGGATAGAAATGCAGTGAAAGGAGTTGTGTCGTTCCTTTAACTCGGATAGAGGCATAGTGAAAGGAGTTGATGTTGTTCCTTTAACTCGGATAGAAATGCAGTGAAAGGAGTTTATGTCGTTTTCATTAACTTGTATAGAGACGCAGTGAAAGTAGTTGATGTTGTTCCCTTAACTCGGATAGAGACGCAGTGAAAGGAGTCATGTTTGATGTAGAAGAACGGTTTCTGGATGAAGGATACGAGTCTTTGCCGGTCTGCAGGGTTCCTCAGACGGAGTTTTTCCAGTTTCTGTACCTCCTTCTGCTCTCTGTTCAGGTCGGCGCTGAACTTCTTCAGCTCCGTCTGAAAGAAGAAGATGATGTCAGTTTTTCCTGCATCCTGCAGAAGGACAGCGATGGAATAATAAACTCACCCTTTTATGTTTGAATATGTCTCCATAGGCTTTAAGAGGAGAAACGACTCTTGTCTCTAGTCTCTCTACCTGGAACAATAACAAAATGAATTGAATGGCAGGATGGAGTTTGATTTTCCTGATAAAAAAACAAAGTCTGGTCTTAGCATCCAGAGGAGCTTGTACCTGAGCGTGCCGGTAATCCTGAACCATTGCCAGATCTTCTGCCAGGTTGTTGAGGCCGACCTGAAACTCTGGATCCTCTGAACGGGAGAAGTCAAAGAGTGCAGACACCAACATGTCCACCTTGTCCCTGAGCTTGGCTGTCTTCCTGGTGTAGGAGGCCAAGATGGAGCACAGCTCCCCCAGGTGTTTCTCTGAGTTGTTCAGAACCAGCTCCATGGCTTGCATCTGGACATCCTTTCTAGATCACATTGAAAACCATAGATGTAGAGCTAAGGCCGTTAGATGTTGGTATCATCTATGGATGCAAAGAAGCATGAAGGAATTACCTGGAAAACAAGCTGTTCATCTTTAACTGCCGTCTGTCCTCACACGTCTCCTCTGCTCTGTTGTCTCCCTTCAGCAGGGCTCACCTGGGCAACAAAGGCTGTTGCCATGGCAATGCCAGCAACACAGAGGGAAAGGAGTGAAGATGCAACTCCTCCTCTGTGCCACATGATGGCAGCAGAGCGCCGTTTTTACACTTTCTACTGAAGTTCAGCTGCACTGTTTCCCACCTGTTACAGCTTTAAACTAGACATTAATATCTACAGTAATAAGGAGCGGATGGAGGGAATAGAAATTTTGTTTTAGAGAAAATCCCATAAAATGAAATCAGAGAGAAGACGTCAGAATTAGAAATGTTTTAGGCTAAGCTGAGGATCATCCATTCATCGTGTCTGAGATTCCAGAGGAGCAACGCTCCTCAACAGAACTTTGATCTTCATCTTGTAGGGAGGGGCCTCATCATCATCATCATCATCATCATCATCATCATCATCATCATCATCTTCTCTGCTGAAATTTGTTTCTAAAATCTCAAATCATCTGACTCTCATATATCTATACTCTCACATGCATCATCTGACTCTCATATATCTATACTCTGACATACATCATCTAACTCTCATATATCTATACTCTGACATACATCATCTAACTCTCATATATCTATACTCTCACATGCATCATCTAACTCTCATATATCTATACTCTGACATACATCATCTAACTCTCATATATCTATACTCTGACATACATCATCTTACTCTCATATATCTATAATCTCACATCCATCATCTGACTCTCATATATCTATACTCTGACATACATCATCTAACTCTCATATATCTATACTCTGACATACATCATCTAACTCTCATATATCTATACTCTCACATGCATCATCTAACTCTCATATATCTATACTCTGACATACATCATCTAACTCTCATATATCTATACTCTCACATGCATCATCTAACTCTCATATATCTATACTCTCACATGCATCATCTGACTCTCATATATCTATACTCTGACATACATCATCTATCTCTCATATATCTATACTCTCACATGCATCATCTAACTCTCATATATCTATACTTTCACGTACATCATCTGACTGTCATATATCTATACTCTGATGTGCATGATCTAACTCTCATATATCTATACTCTCAAATCCATCATCTAACTCTCATATATCTATACTTTCACGTCCATCATCTAACTCTCATATACATATACTCTCACATACATCATCTAACTCTCATATATCTATACCTTCACGTACATCATCTAACTCTCATATATCTATAATCTCACATCCATCATCTGACTCTCATATATCTATGCTCTTACATCCATCATCTAACTCTCATATATCTATACTCTCACATGCATCATCTAACTCTCATATATCAATACTCTCACATACATCATCTAACTCTCATATATCTATACTCTCACATACATCATCTAACTCTCATATATCAATACTCTCACATACATCATCTAACTCTCATATATCTATACTCTCACATACATCATCTAACTCTCATATATCTATACCTTCACGTACATCATCTAACTCTCATATATCTATACTCTCACATGCATCATCTAACTCTCATATATCTATACTCTCACATGCATCATCTAACTCTCATATATCTAACTCTCACATGCATCATCTAACTCTCATATATCTATACTCTCACATGCATCATCTAACTCTCATATATCTATACTCTCCCATGCATCATCTAACTCTCATATATCTATACTCTTACATCCATCATCTAACTCTCATATATCTATACTCTTACATCCATCATCTAACTCTCATATATCTATACCTTCACGTACATCATCTAACTCTCATATATCTATACTCTTACATCCATCATCTAACTCTCATATATCTATACCTTCACGTACATCATCTAACTCTCATATATCTATACTCTTACATCCATCATCTAACTCTCATATATCTATACTCTCACATACATCATCTAACTCTCATATATCTATACCTTCACGTACATCAACTAACTCTCATATATCTATAATCTCACATCCATCATCTGACTCTCATATATCTATGCTCTTACATCCATCATCTAACTCTCATATATCTATACCTTCACGTACATCATCTAACTCTCATATATCTATACTCTCACATGCATCATCTAACTCTCATATATCTATACTCTCACATGCATCATCTAACTCTCATATATCTAACTCTCACATGCATCATCTAACTCTCATATATCTATACTCTCACATGCATCATCTAACTCTCATATATCTATACTCTCCCATGCATCATCTAACTCTCATATATCTATACTCTTACATCCATCATCTAACTCTCATATATCTATACTCTCACATGCATCATCTAACTCTCATATATCTATACTCTTACATCCATCATCTAACTCTCATATATCTATACTCTCACATGCATCATCTAACTCTCATATATCTATACTCTTACATCCATCATCTAACTCTCATATATCTATACTCTCACATACATCATCTAACTCTCATATATCTATACCTTCACGTACATCATCTAACTCTCATATATCTATAATCTCACATCCATCATCTGACTCTCATATATCTATGCTCTTACATCCATCATCTAACTCTCATATATCTATACTTTCACGTCCATCATCTAACTCTCATATATCAATACTCTCACATACATCATCTAACTCTCATATATCTATACCTTCACGTACATCATCTAACTCTCATATATCTATACTCTCACATGCATCATCTAACTCTCATATATCTATACTCTCATATGCATCATCTAACTCTCATATATCTATACTCTCACATGCATCATCTAACTCTCATATATCTATACTCTCCCATGCATCATCTAACTCTCATATATCTATACTCTTACATCCATCATCTAACTCTCATATATCTATACTCTCACATTCATCATCTAACTCTAATATATCTATACTCTCACATTCATCATCTAACTCTAATATATCTATACTCTCACATGCATCATCTAACTCTCATATATCTATACTCTCATATGCATCATCTAACTCTCATATATCTATACTCTCACATGCATCATCTAACTCTCATATATCTATACTCTCCCATGCATCATCTAACTCTCATATATCTATACTCTTACATCCATCATCTAACTCTCATATATCTATACTCTCACATTCATCATCTAACTCTAATATATCTATACTCTGACATACATCATCTAACTCTCATATATCTATACTCTTACATCCATCATCTAACTCTCATATATCTATACTCTCACATTCATCATCTAACTCTAATATATCTATACTCTCACATGCATCATCTAACTCTCATATATCTAACTCTCACATGCATCATCTAACTCTCATATATCTATACTCTCATATGCATCATCTAACTCTCATATATCTATACTCTCACATGCATCATCTAACTCTCATATATCTATACTCTCCCATGCATCATCTAACTCTCATATATCTATACTCTTACATCCATCATCTAACTCTCATATATCTATACTCTCACATTCATCATCTAACTCTAATATACATCCGGTTGAGTGGACGCTGGCGTGATTTCTGGCGCCGCTACTCTCCGACAGCTGTGCTCTACAATTTTTGCGAATAATTTCATGGACTAAATAAACAATCCTCCACAACCCAACGCTTGGAGCTACTCTGAAACTTTGTTACGGATACTCTTCATGCTTCGTCAAGTTTCGGCAAAAGTGTAATATTTACCTGCCTCTCTATCCAGCCCTTCGACCCTCCGGACCAGCTCCCTGCTACAAATGATGTGGCCTCCAAAATTTTTCCCACCTGGACCGTAATAATCCTGATCTTCATGTTGCCTCTTCTCCATCCTGGATTTTGGTCTAATCCAGTACACCGCAACAGAGCTCCTCCGCATCCGCTCACTTCTGACTGAACCTCCGCCAGCATCTTTAAACTTCTACCCGAAAATTGCTCTCTTACCCGCCGGAAATACACACACCGCGGATCTCCCCGACTTTTTCCATCCAGCGCTCCAAACCTGTTAAATCCTACTGGCCCTTTAAAACTCGCCGCTCTCAACGTAAATCCATCGGACTGTGAACCACAGCGTGCTACCCAGCCCAGCTAGGTCGGCTAAGCCTCCAGTAAAAACTCCAAAACATCACCCTCAACTTCGGTCTCCTCAATATCCGCTCCGCTTCCCAAACAAGGGTCATCTCGTCCAAGACATCCTTGTTGACCGTGAACTGGACTTTCTGATTCTAACGGAAACTTGGCAACAGCCTAATAACTATTCACACTAAATGACTCCACTCCACCGGGTTTGTTTACCTTTCCCGGGCCCCGCGTGACGCGCCGAGGGGCCCGGTCCTCGCGGTACTCCTACAACGAGAAAGGGAAGGTGGGTTTCCCGTCACTGTGCCTTCCTACAACCATTTGAATGCCTGTCCCTTTTACACTCTCTGGCCCTACACCTACCGTTTGTTGGCGGCCCGTCTTTTCGCCCCCCAAGCCACATAGTGATTTTTTAAATGACTAACAGATCTTCTAACCCTTCTCTCCTCTCTCTCACCCAATGTAATATTGGTGGGGGATTTTTAATATTCACATGGACAATTTTAACCTTCCCTCGCCAGAGATTTCCTATCTTGTCTGGACAATTTTGGTTTGATCAGTTTTCCAATTTTCCAACTCACTCTAAAGGTCATACTCTTGACCTAATTTGTTGCTCTGGTCTTACCCCCTCTAACTGTTCAGCTGAGGATCTCCAAAATATCTGATCATTTCCTCCTTTTATTCAGCATTTCCGCCCGTCTTTTCACAGCAAAGACCCCACGGCTCCTTTCATACCGGAACATAAGAACATTAACTTGGACACTCTCTCTTCACACATCCAAGAACTTTAATCCTGGATTCGTCTTCCTCACCGGATGAACTGACATCTCAATAAAAATAACGGGCTTAAATGATATTTTGAACCTCCTTGCCCCAACAAAATCCCGGACTGTCAACTTTTCCCACTCCGCCCCCTGGTTTACCCCCTAAACTCTCGGACCATGAAGGCTAAGTGCCGTCAACTTGAAAGACTTAAAAAAAAAAACCGGGTTTTAAACAATTCACAGTGAAATGTATATAACTCAGATAACTCAATAAAAGAACTAATCACTAAAACTAAATCCATTTACTATTCCAACCTGATCTCCTCACACGAAAGAAATTCTCGGACTCTTTTTTTTGGGTTTGTTTAACAATATTTTCAAATCCCCAGCTTCTCTTCCTCCCCACCTATGCTCAACTGACGCCTCCCCAATTCGATTATGCAGTTTTTCAATGATAAAATCAAAATAATTCACCAGTCCCTTGCCTCCTATCCTGTCACCCCTTCCCCTATAACCCTCTTCACCCTGCCAGCCTTTTGCAGCTTTTATCTCCCTACCCTCTCGATATTTCTGATTTTATCAACA